CTGCAGACAATGCCAATGTGTGTTGCTTTCCACAAGACACTTGTCTTATTATAGGCAATTCTCCAATAACTCTTTGAATGAAAATTAAATTGTGATTAATTAATATATCAATATATTTATAAAAGTAATAATGATAATGGTAACAATAATAATAATAATAAAAATAACAATAATAACAATAATAGTAATAATAGAAATAAATAAAAATTTATAACACTTGATGTAATAACAAACAATTTTTTATAATTGTTTGTTATTACATATGTTTCATTTTTAAGTTAATAAGTTATAAGATAAATATTTTAAATTACTATATATATATATATATATATATATATATATATATATATATATATATATATATATATATATATATATATATATATATAAAATATATATATATATATATATATATATATATATATATATATATATATATATATATATATTATTTTTATCTAATTGTAGGCATTGATTCTTCCCTTTCTTATTTGCTAATTGTATTAGCATGTGCTTATGGTCTGCAATATTTGATATCAGAACTCAGTCATTGTTAACTAATTTTTTAATAGTTTTAAATAATTTAATGGCTTTAAATAAGAAAACTTTAGTATCAGCAATCATTAAAATTACACTTAATTACTTCGGCAGATACAAAACTTTAATCTAAATTATACAGAGAATGTTTGAATTTAGAAAACTAAAATGTTGTTAGTATAAATAATAATCCAGTGTATTGCAGTATTTTTCCAAATGTTGCAGTTAATTATGATCAGGTCAGGATTAGAATCATCATGAAAACTCTATTACTGGTATCCTCAATTGAGTAAAGACTAGAGATCTCAATAAAAATACTTTTAGCAGATGTTTGATCTAGTTACTTTCTTGTAAAAGGCCTCCTCTGCAAAGGACTTTAAAGGTAAGCAAAAAAATATTCAGTTGAAAAGTTTTACACCCCTTTTAAAAGTTGAAAAGTTTTACACCCCATCTAATAGTCTGGTATAGAAATAAAGCTAGACTCAGTAATAGCTCTTAGAGACTGGTTCCATCAACAACTGTAAAATATTAAAGAATTAACAGTGCCATGTTGATTATGAATAGTGTTCCTGTTATTTGTTGAATTGTACTTCTTGCAAAATTCATTCGACTTAATTGCTCTGTTTGAGAAAAATTTAAATTATGCTGTTTTATCTTTGGATTTCAATGTCTTTTATACTTTGATTAGAAAAAACTCAAACAGTCACATTCTATTTACTTATGCATCGGTTCATCTATTTTCCTTAAAACCAGTTTTGAACCCTCTGACCATTTTTTTATGTATTTTTTTTTAACTTTTTAACTTGGTTTGCTCTAGAACTCAATTTTTTTGTCTTTCTTATTAATTATTACAATTATAATTTCTGTATAAATATTTACTTTTTACAGACTACTTTTTACAGACAAATGTAATCGCATACTTTTACTTTTGATTGATTCGATTGATGATACTTGTTGATTTGTGTCTCGCCTCTAGCTTGTGCTCAGTTGCTCATTATTCTGCTATAATCAAGATAAAATTTTTATCTTGAAGGTCAAACTCACCTTAAATACTAACTATAACACTACCTTAATACTAGGCTGACTGAGATTCTTTTTGTAATTTTCTTTGTGATGGTCCTTGGGCTTTTGTCTTTTAACTCTTGAATTAAGACAAGCATGGAATCTTTTATTCCTTCTTGCAGATCTTTCTCTTATGTTGCTACAATTTTTAATCTTAAATACTTCTTTTATCTTTTTCACAAGAGAATCTCTCTGTTGAACAAACATTTGTTTATCATTGCAAGAAATTGGTACAAAAAAAGTGTCTGATGGTAAGCTCTATTATTGTCTGATGGTCCATCATCATGCTCTCTAAACAATCTTTAAGTGTTAAACATTTTTTTAATTTTTTCCCTGCCACAATGAAATGGTTCTGATATTAAATTTGATATTAAACTTGAATGTTAGATTATATAATATCCTATTCACATCTAATGTGAGATAATATAGCTTCAATCATGGATCCAAAATTATAGAAACAAGATAAAAATGATGAAAATGTAAGACAATTTTTCTAGCTTTTGCTAAAAGATCATTTTAGATTCACTCTTCTTTGCTGTTTAAAAAGGTAAATGGTTATTCAATGCGGAATAATGTGGATAAAACAATTTTAATTATTATCCAAATCAGCTTCTTCTGTAACCACTTTAAAGTTAGCAGCATGTCAGAGAGGACAAAGTAAGGATGACATTAAAAAACCCATTTAATATAATCCAATAAAAACCTGCCATTTAATATAATCCAATCAAAACCTGCCATTTAATATAATCCAATCAAAACCTGCCATTTAATATAATCCAATCAAAACCTGACTTAAAAAACCCAAAAAAATCTGAGCAATCTGTTTTTTTTTTTTTTTATAAATTTATGAACTAATATGACCAACATTTGTGAACTAATATGACCAACATTTGTGAACTAATATGACCAACATTTGTGAACTAATATGACCAACATTTGTGAACTAATATGACCAACATTTGTGAACTAATATGACCAACATTTGTGAACTAATATGACCAACATTTGTGAACTAATATGACCAACATTTGTGAACTAATATGACCAACATTTGTGAACTAATATGACCAACATTTGTGAACTAATATGACCAACATTTGTGAACTAATATGACCAACATTTGTGAACTAATATGACCAACATTTGTGAACTAATATGACCAACATTTGTGAACTAATATGACCAACATTTGTGAACTAATATGACCAACATTTGTGAACTAATATGACCAACATTTGTGAACTAATATGACCAACATTTGTGAACTAATATGACCAACATTTGTGAACTAATATGACCAACATTTGTGAGAAAATAAACATATTATAGTAGCTAGCTATAAAGGGAAATTTCAATTCAAATATGATATTATTTTTAATAATATATTTTTTTCAAAAAAATTCTGCTGAAAACCAAACAACATAAAAGATTGATTCAATAAGATTTTTCATAATAAGCTTTTGATAAGAATAGTTGGATACTTTTTTACATCATTTTTGAATAGTTACCTTTTAATAAAACCATGAGCCTATTTTTGATACTGTCTATATATTCACATAAGCTTTTTTCCTTTTCACTTCCCTAACTTTTGATTAGATAAAACAAAATAAGAAAAAAATTCTTTCTATTGATCCTGAGCTAGCAGTGTATATCTGAAATTTGAAAAAAATATGACAAATCTTTCAGTTAATTTTTACTAAACTGATTTTTAACTTCTCTGGTAGTGACAATGTGTCACTATCAACAACTGTGTGACACAGTTGTTGATAGTGACACATTCTGATAAGTTACAACTTTGCATACAGAAACATTGTATTTAATCAACATAATGATTTTGTTTTTATTAATTTTCCTTTACTCTTATAAAGCTTTATTCTGAAATAAAAACTTTAAAATATATTAAATACTTGATCTAAAACAAGGCTAATTATTTTGAGTTGCGATTGATCAAGTTGCAAAGACTGTTAGTTTCTCTAAATATTGCTTGATTTTCAATAATTTTCTGATTTTGATATATATATTATAACTATTTACAATACATAAATTGGATAGGTTTTTATGTATGTTTCTACACAGTCAATTTGGGAGTTTCAGTGGGTATCATTTGGTACCTCAGACATATTTCCTTCTTTCTCACTCAATCATCCCTTAAAAAAATATTTATTTATTGACCTTAAACTGTTATATATTATTTTTTTATGTTTTGTTTTTGCAGATTATTATTTAATAATCCAGAAAAACAAAACATATTATCTACATGTGGTTGATGTGTATTGCAAAAATACTTTTGCACTTCAACCACATATTTGATGACATCTGGGTATTGTTATCACTTCAAGGGTAAATTGACTCATTTTATTGTTTCATTATAAACATTTTCTAGGAGCTCTCCTCCAAGCATTTTATGGTTAGCTGAATTATACCCTAGTGTTAATGAAATGATCATGTCTACAAACTCTTGGTTTTAAATAATACATTTGCAGTGAAGAAAAATTTTGCTATTTTTATATCAATATATTTTTTCTGTTTCAAATTAGCTGACATGATGATGTATGATGGTATCAAAAATTTACAAAATGTGTTGGCAAACTAACAGAGCTAACAAATGCTGAAAAACTTGTTCCAATTTGAGATGATACTAATATTTAAATCATTATTTGGAAATACATAATCATAATTTTTATTTAAATTTTTTGACAGATTGAGATGGTCACATTTTGTATGCTTTTGTAAAAACTCAATTTTTTGTGGCTTTAAATAGGGCTTTACTTATACTACCTTATGCCAAAGCAAGAAAATAATTACAAGAAACCTTTAGCACTATTTTCAATTATAGTTACTTTCCCCCCTCTCCCACTCTTTAGTCTTCTTTTTCCCACTTCCCATTTTTAATTATAAAAACATATCTTTTTAAAATCAACAAAAAAAAGTCAATACACAAAGATTTAACTTAAAACTTTCTTTTTTTTTTTAAAAAAAAAAAAAAAGCGTTACCAGCCTATTTTAAAATATATCTTATTATTATTGTTCTTATCAGTTATTTATTTTTCTATTTAAAACATTTAATTTTTTTTGTTAAATAATTTCTCGAAGTTTTTCCCGAAACAAAAATTGATTTTAACGTTTCATACAATTTAAAAATAGCTTCAGTATATTTTTTACTAGTTGAGTTTTAAATAACAGTGCAAATTTTTTGTAACTTTAGTAAATATTGTTTTTTTCTTATAATTTTTTATTTTATTTATATTCCTTAAATTGTCTTGTGTTTTAACAAAAAATAGTTTAAAATATGTAAGTTTTAAATATTATTAATTTTGTCAGTAGTAAAGTTATTTTTTTAATTTTTTTTTTAGTTTTTGCAATAGAGTGTTCACATTTTTTAATTAACTGAGAATTTGATGACCTCATATATATTTTAAAGTATTTGATTTATAACTGTTTTAAATAACACTGGTCAACAACAAAAATAACATCTCGGAAGCCAGATACTATTCTTTTCTAATTTTTGGGTGCTGATTCCAAAAATACCATCAGTTTCTTTTTATCAGGTCAGGTTTCTCTGATATCCATATCACTTTTTTTTCACATTTAAATGCATTTCCAATAATACAAAATCTAGAAAATGACCCCTGGATCTTACAGATATACAGTTTACCCATAATTCTGATGAGTATATTAATAACCCAATCATCTTAATCTAAACTAAAGCTAATAAAACAGATTCTAAGATAATTTTATGGTTGGAGGGGAAAATACAACTAGCCAAAAATACAATGTTGAAAAAAAAACCAATTATGATGTTGCATAAATACTTTTATTTATTTGAATTTTTCTTGCTAAATTTTTCATGCTAAACATTTCTATACAATGTTATATCCGAAGATATTGTTGGCTTAGCATAGGAACAGCTAAAAATAGTCATTAAAGACTAATCCAAAGTAGCGTTCATTATTGACCAACATTTTTGCATACAGAAGTACTACTCAAGCACTGAGTTGGCGGTGGCAGGATTTGAACCTGTGTCGTACAACATTCTAGGTTGTAACAAGTTGACAATATCAACTTGATTATTAATTATTACTCATATATATTTTCAGCATAAATGTTTGTAAGATATTTCTTTAGGTAAAATATAACTAACTTATGTCAAACTTAAGATTGATAAGTCAACTAAATATGGCTACCTTCTGCTTGTTTAGCTAGTCAGTTAGCATCAGTTAGCCAGACAATTTTAATCTAACTAATAAGTTATTTGACAAATGTCAAACAAAAAGTTGGTTGACTACTTTTAGTCAAACTAAAAAGTTAGTCAACAAATTTTAGTATAAAAAAAAAAAAAATTAACAGCGTTTCAATTATTATAGCTTGCAATCAAAATATTGTTTGACCACAAAAAAAATTTATTATCTTTTATCACAAGATGTAAAAATGTTCAATATTCAATTGTGGGTCCAAATCCTTTTAATAGAACTTTTTAATTTGAATAAAAAAAAAAAAAATAATAATTTGATATTTTATAAAATAGTAACACTGTAGAATACTTTACTGAGTGTAATAAACTTATTAGCAATATATATATATATATATATATATATATATATATATATATATATATATATATATATATATATATATATATATATATATATATATATATATATATCATGTATTATATATTACACACTTTTTTCAAATAAAGATTTAAAACATAAAAGAACTAAATATTTGTCACCATAAAGATAGCTTTTATAATTTTTACTTAAGTTTTTATATGCAAAAAAATAAGATTTTTATGTCTTCAGATGAAGATAACACCCTGATTCTTAAACAATAATACTGATAATCATATAACATTACCTTGGAACAGAAGAAACTTGAATTTCATGTGATTGGCCAAGCTGGCCATTATGATTTTTCCCAAAACTGTAAACCTGACCCCTCTCATTCAACAAAATACTAAAACCATCACCACAACTTCCTGTTATAATAGTTGCAAGACAGGTAATTCGCTCTAAAAATTTAAAGTTTGAACAAACTATAATTTATTTTAGGTGTAAAATGCCAGAAAAATGTTGGTTCTAGCTCTAGATTCTTTTTAAATAAAGTAAACCATTATGTGTGTGTGTGTGTGTGTGTGTGTGTGTGTGTGTGTGTGTGTGTGTGTGTGTGTGTGTGTGTGTGTGTGTGTGTGTGTGTGTGTGTGTGATATATATATATATATATATATATATATATATATATATATATATATATATATATATATATATATATATATATATATATATGTATATATATATGTATATATATATATATATGTATATATATGTATATATATATATATATATATATATATATATATATATATATATATATATATATATATATATGTATATATATATGTATATATATATATGTATATATATATATGTATATATATATATATATATATATATATATATATATATATATATATATATATATGTATATATATATGTATATATATATATGTATATCATACAGTTTTAAATAGTGTGAAATATCTAGGTTGCAAAAATTAAAGAATTTTTTTTAGAAGAATCAAATTTTTAGTACTTTTGGCCATGGGAAAAAACTCTGGACCTTTCTGTACTCAGCATTGGCAAGATGAAAAATAATAGACTTAAATGAAAAGGTTTTTGAAAAACAGAAGTTCAAAATAGAAAAAGTTTTAACTTAAAACAAGAAATTTCAAGAAAATAAAATCAAAACTAAGCTAATAAAAACTGATTTTTTTATTTTATTAAAACCATTTTTTTATTTTATTTAGAATTTATAATTAAAGTCATTTTTTAAAGTTTTTTACCTGGAACTTCTGTGTTTTCATTAGATATGCCTAGCTCTCCATCATAGTTCAAACCACTAGCATAAACTAATCCCCCTGATAGAAACAAAGTATGATTCCAGCCACATATTATTTTTTCAATGCAAAACGAGGTATTAACTGAAAAAAAAAAATAACTTTCAAAAGTCTTAAATACAATTTTAAACATTATTATATATTATCATTTATTTATTTTTCATTTAATTTTATACGATTTGCTTAACTACTAATCACCATTTTTGTATTAACTTTATTTACCCAAAATCGGAGTTGGAAAAGTATTATCAATGGGTTCATTTTCATCTTTTTCTTGCAAATTTTTGAAACCTAGTTGGTTATAAGCATTGCAGCCCCAACTATACATACTCATTTTGTTTGAATAATTTTTTTTTAACTAAATAAAATTATACAATATAAATATTTTAGAAAGTTGAAAGATTCTTTTTGAAGAAACTTGTTATTATCATCATCTGTAAAAGTTCCACTGCAACTCAAATCAAAAACAAAATCACATTGTTAAAGACGGATATCTTTTCCTGTTCATAAAGAAACTTTTCTCTCACTCTTTGACACAAACTCCTAAAATAAAAAAACACTTTTAACAAATTCAGATTAAAATTTTATAAAAGCTGTCATGTAAAACAATTGAAATAGGCTGTTTATATATTTAAAATGAATTTCTTACCAATAAAGAAGTTGTTACAAAATAATATCCCTGTTGTATTTTTAATTACCTAACAATTTTTTAAAACTGATCACATCAAAAAATTTCATAAAAAAATACTTTTTTTTTTTTTTTTTTATCCATTTATTTAAACATAAAATCAAAAATTGCAAATTTATTTATAATTTACTAAGTTAGGTTCGGTGTCACTCATATAGTTAGTTAAAAACTAGTCAATAGAGTGATACCTAATAAAATAAACAAATAAAATAAAAAAATATTAAAACAAGGAAATAATAAAAGAAAGTAAACTACATTAATACAAGTAATAAAAAAAGAAGTAATAGGAACAATAATAATAAAAAAGTTGGAATCAGAACAAAAATATAATGGAGTAAAGCTAAGAAAAATGAATAAGAGAGAGAATGAACGGATGAGATAAGATGAGTGAGAAAAAAATGTTAGTTGTGAAATGATTGAGAAAAAAATGTTAGTTGTGAAAACAAAAATTTTAATCACATAAGTTCAGAAGGATAGAGTGGGAATAAAAAATTTTCGCACAAAAATATAAAAGAGCAAAATAAAAGCAAACTATCTGTTGGACTATGACTGAATGTCCTTATGTCAGAGCCTGTGCTAAAACTTAATAATAATGATATAAAAAATTTAATGAAGGCTCAGGGCATTATGCATCTTAAATTTACAGGTATTTTATATTTAAATTTATCTTTGTTACCTTCAAAACCACTGCATATATATATATATATATATATATATATATATATATATATATATATATATATATATATATATATATATATAATATATATATATATATATATATATATATATATATATATATATATATATGTTTGCATATACATATTTGCCTTGTTGCACATTAGAAAAGTAAATATTTCACACATAATATGATAAAAAGACAAGATTATATGCATTAGATTCTGATGATAATAATAGTAATAATATTACAATAATAATAATAATAATAATAATAATAATAATAATAATAATAATAATAATAATAATAATAATAATAATAATGATAATAAAACTGTGTAAAAATATGGAGTATTTTCAAGTTTCAATCATAAAGATTTGAACGTTACAAAAAAAGAACTTTTGTTCTTATTTATGTTATATAATTTATGGCATACTTAAACCATCAAACAAAATCCGTTTTTTAGTGTAAAGTTGAATAAAGAAACTTTTAAGTTAACTCAATTAAAAATACAGCACTAAAACTAAATGAAAAAAAGAAGTTGAAAAAATCTAATTGTTTTAATAATTATACTTTGGCATTTTTATACTTTGCATGTAAAAGCATTTATATATTATTCAAGAGCCTTTAATTTAAAGTTGAAATGTTACTCAAAAAAGATTCGCATTGTTTGTGTGTTAAAATTTAAAAAAGAGTAGTAAATATTTATTTATTAAATATTCCCATTTTACTTCGACTTTTTAATTTAGTAAACAAATGAAAAGTGCTAGGGATGGAAAATCGGTAAATTCGTTGTGAACGGCAATAATATCATGACAGACTTTCGCAATGATGCGAAATCTGTCATGATATTAATATAGGTTTATTAATAAATTTATTTAAGTTAGTAAGAACTAAAATTCTCTTTAAAATTTATCTAAATTTTTTTATAAAACGAATAAAAATTTTTTGAACCGGCTTGTTTTCGATAAACGCACATGCCAGGTTTTCCCGGACCAGTTTTTTGCTTCGTGAAAAATAAAAAAAAAATAAAATTGTTCCGGAAAAACTTTAATTTATTTGCATTAGCGTTTGTTGATAATAGAAAACAACCCTGTTCAGAAAACTTTTATTTAACTAAAAAGCAATACGCTGTTATCGTAATTCATATAACAAAAATAAGTAACAAAGAAACATTTACATTACAAAAATATAGACATATAATGCAGACTGAGACTTAAAGTACTTGTCCATTAATTAGGTCAATTTTTTCGGTAATTTTTACCACCACCATCCCCTCCCGCTTATCAGCATCTTATCAAATTTTTAGAGTCCACCTATAAATTATGTTACGGTTTGATTTGATTTCAATACTATTTTAATATTTGTGCATGGAGTTAAAGATCTTGACATCTAAAGAACCACTCAAGGCTTAAGAGCGGCAGGTTACCGACCCCTGGTGTAAACGTTTTAATAATATAATGTAGACCATGTACTATCATACATTTGTTTTGTTTGCACAGCAGACTAACCAACAACAATTTTGTTACGTGTTACGACTAAACATCTCGTGTGTGCTTTTTTTTGTTGTTCTATATTGTCTTTTTAAAGCACATTATAACAACGATGACATTAAAAAAATTAACATTGTTGACGTCAACTTATCTTGACCAGGGTCGGCGCGAGTAGGCGTCACGTAGGGGTGCCAAGACAACTTTTACCGACTTAAAAAAAAAACATCCTCGTTTTTTAAAATTTACCAACTGCCTCATTGACATTTGCCGACTTACATAGATTCGATCAGGTGATCAATGAAACTTTGTGGAATCGCTGCCCAGGATTTTCGGGTTTGTTCAAACAGTTGATCCTTATTACAAACACCTTCACGATTAATTCAGCGGTTGACGATCTCCCACAGGTTCTCGATAGGGTTGAGATCCGGAGATTGAGGCGGCCAATCCATCACCGATTGGTGGTTGTCTCAAAACCACTGCTTGACTACTTTTGCAGTGTTTTTGGAATCGTTGTCTTGCTGAAAAACCCAATTTATTGGCATATTTCATTCAGCATGAGGTAACATAACATCTTTCAGGATATTTCTATACATAAAAGAGTCCATTATTCCATCGATTCAATGTATTTGACCTAGACCGTTAGCAGAAAAACACCCCCAGACCATTACATCGCCTTCACCCAGCTTCACGGTCTTATGGCAGTAACGTAATCGAGGCGGTCATTACCATTTGTCCTGTGAGTTCGCATTTCTTCAAAAAGAGTTTTTCGTATGTTTAGGGTATCCAAAGAATAATCTTCGTTTATAAATATTCCTGTTCCTTTTAATTTTTTCGAGTTTTTTAATATGTTAACTTTATCTTTGTAGTTCAGAAGTTTTATCACGATTGATATAGGCATATTTCAAACATGAAGTTCAACATCATTCAATGATGTTGAACTTCAATTCATCACTGAAAAGAACAGTTCGCCATTTCTGCACATTTCAGTCAATATGAGATGTAGCAAACAGGAGTCTTTTCTTCTGGTTCTTTAGTGAAATCAGCGGATTCTTTGCAGGGCGCCGAGAAAACAATCCGGCTTCAAAAGCACGTCGTCTGATTGTTCGGTCCGTATAAATGTTTGTATGATACTATTAAATCATGTTGTTGTTGTTGATGTTATTGTTGTTGTTGTTGCTGTTGTTGTTGTTATTGTTGTTGTTGTGGTTATTGAGTTATATGAACAGTTGTTCATATAACTCAACAACCACATCAACAACAACAACGACAACAACAACAACAACAACAACAACAACAACAACAACAACAACAACAACAACAACAACAACAATAACAATAACAATATCAAACAACAACAACAACATCAATATCAACAACATAAAAATCTAAGAACAACAACAACATCAAAAAAAAAAACGTATGGAATTACTATCAAGGTAAAAATAAATTTCCTCAGAAAATTTTTGTAGAATGTCTTAAGTATATGCATAGACATGATTAGGGATCGTCCATAAATTATACAACGCTAAATTTGTTTTTATAAACGAAGTAGGAGATCTTAAGTTCTTTTACGCGGCGATTTTCGTTAAACTTAATGAGCTATTTTGATTTTTTACTTAAATTAAGTTTCTGCAAGTGAAAACTTTATATCTTTTTTGTTTAATTTATTAGTTAAATTTAACGTTGAGTAATTTATGGACTATCCCTTATTTTTATTATTACTTTTAAAAAGATTTTGCGACAAGACCTTATGTCATTTTGTAAATTTGGAGGAAGTCTTTGCTGGATAATATCATGCTTTTCAAATCTTTTTTGGTTGTCAAAATATCTAGATTATTTGTTTCATCTGAAAGATCAAACAGAAGGAGGTTCATGCAACTTTTGTAACTTGGTTTCGAGAGATTTTTTTTGAATGAGTAGTGAGATCTTTTTGATAATTATTGGGAGGGAACTAATCACCCAAAGTGCCCTTAATTGTCCTGTCGTTTCTTGGTTTCTAAAATCTTTCTTCGAAGTTTTACACCAAGGTCAGGGACATGTGGTTGCAGCTGAGTCTAATCCAAGAAAAGATTCGCAAGTCAGTATTCATATAACACGGAAGTGATTGGACGTGCTTTTCTTGCGCTGTAAATTTTTAATAAAATTGTTTGAACTTAATTTTTAAAATTTTTGTTTATAATTGGTATTGAACTTTAAACATTCGTATTTAACTTGTTAATAAAATGGATAAAAATAAAAGTATTGATAAAAAAGAAATTCAATTAAATACAGAAGCTTCAGAAATATCTGTGAAATTAGTTCGTGAAATATTCTCTGAGATGTTTAAGAAACAACAAAAAGACATTCTCAAACTTATTGGTGGTAATTCAAAAATTACAAATGAAAGAGTTGATGGACTGCTGAAAGAAATAGCAGAAATAAAAGAAACGTGCAAAACTTTACAAATTGAAAATAATTTAAGAAAATCTGAAATGGTAAAAACAAATGACAGAGTCTCA